CACACTACTACTACCTAGTTCTGAATGTCGTAATGATTAAATGAGATAATGTATATGCAAAGGGCCGTGTGAACCTGAAAACCTGTACGAGTGTTAACTGTCAAGTTTGGTTCACTTTTTAATTGGACAATCTCAAGAAATGCCCTTTATGGACAGCACAGTCTCTGATGGCATTTGCATGCCTCCTACTTCCCTACTCTGTGCCCAGTGCTGTGTGACACACTAGGGACACCAAGGCAGCGAGGACTCAGTCCCCTGGCAGGCTGCTCCAGGGCTGGGAGGCGAGGCCACACAGAGGTCTGGGTCAAAAACCGGCAGACAGAACCGGCTGCCCCTCTGTGCGATGGGACAATGAACTCTGTATCATCCTGGGGCGAGGGGATGGTTCAAGGAGATGGTAAAAGTGATGGACACACCGCCTGCGCGTGGCCAGCCCTCCTCCCTGTGAGCCTGGCTTTGCTATCCCTGCCATGATGCCGCTGCCATCACATTACTCCATCTCTGGTGACGGAAGCCCATCTTCCTGACCTAGTGTACAGGGTGGTCTGGAACACCCCGCTTCACAGGAGAGGCTCAGCCTTCAGGATCTCAGGTCCCAGGATGCCCTGGGAGCTCACACGTGGCGGGGAAGAGGACTCAGTGATAAACAGTGCATCCCTGCCTGGTCTTGAGACCTGCCTGGGAAGGTCTAGAAGTCAACCCTTCCCTGGAGTCAGTGGCCTCCCTGGGCCTCTGGCAGTTTCTGGGCCATGGCAGAGGCCCATGCTGGCATGGGTGTTGGCACAGAGAGGTGTTTGCCAGCCCCTGAGGCAGGTGAGCGTCCTAGAAGGCAGGGGCAGGCCCACCCTAGCTGGGAGGGCGGCTCTTCCCCATTGTTCTGGGCCGGGTGTGGCTGCTGGCACAAGAGCAGCCAAAGCGTGTTGGAAACCAGGCAAACACTCACAAACTCAGCACGGTTTCCACTAACGTCACTGCAGCCCTACCTTGTAGCCCAACCCAAACCGGGGGCTCCCAGGCACCTTTCTCTGCCTGGACTAAAAGGAACCATTGGAACTATGCTTGGGCTTTGTCATTCCAGTGAGAACAGCTCAGTGTGACCCTAGAGAGCACAGGGTCTGGGAAACTGCCCACTGGCTGTCACGGGTGGAGCCTGGGCCCAGGCTGTTCACTGGAGAAAGCCCCCACGGGGGCCCTGGTAAGACAAAACCTTCAAGTCTTGTGCTGTGGTTATTTTAGTGTAAATTTAATGTGCAATCAGAGTGGTAACGCTAATATTTGTTTTACTACTAAAAACCAGATTAAGTACATTTCTGTGTAGTCATTGAGAGTCTGAAGGTTTGTGGATGGAAAAGGGGCCACATAGTAAACCTGACCAGCCCAGGGGAGGCCTGCGTGGCAGCCTCACAAACTCAGAGACCAAAGTAACCACAGGGGATGGTCTGAGCACAAAAATTCCTAACGAGAAGCAAGTGATGGCAGGTAGGCATGTCCTAGGCCTGTAGCTTTCTTGACAAAGGTCAATCTTCACCTTAGGTAGGCTGTCTATTGTCTTTCTGCATCTAGCGTAACACACCTTTGAAATGTCAGAGTGGTCTTCTTTTCTAGACCCCCAAGGCACAGTCTTGGGCTCTACAGCACAGAATCCCTGGTTATATCTTGTTCCCCGCACACCATCTCTCTGTGCTGTAAACGTTTATTAAGTATTCTGTATCCACCAAAGTAAAACAAGTAGGTGTCTATGTTGCCTTTTTACCCAATCCCAGAGAGCCCCCTTCCTTTTCCCTCCCCCTTCATCTACCACCCACGTATTTCACACAACTCCCCTTACATCTCCTGCTTTAATTCTAATGTATAAAATAAGCTACAAAACTTCCACTCTCCAGAGTATTTTCTCAATCCGCTGAGATTTCACTTCCCAGCAACTGCTGCCAGTTTGACAACTTATAAAAATTCTCTACAGGTTTGGACGTTTCTTACATCGATGGGTTTGAGTACGTCGGACCAGGGCTGAGTCCTGGCTCTGCCAGGCCTGTGCGGTCTAAGGCAAGTTACTGAGCCTCTCTGAGCCTCCATTTCCTCATCTGTAAAACGAAAGTAACAGTGCCTACCTTAAAAAGACACTGTAAGAATTCAATACAGTAGAAAACACGTGCAAATGTCTAGTGCAGGGTCAGGTACCTAGAAGGCACTCAGTTAATGGAGGTTACGAAAGTTATGGATACATATGATGAATGGCCTCCTGGACAGCGCCCCCACCCCCAGCAGTCATTCCCTGCCTGCCTGCCCTGTCCCTCCCACGGCACTCCCACTGCCTGCAGCTGTGGGCTGGCAAGTCTTTTCTTTCAGTCCACAAATACCTACTGAACTCCTAGTATTGCAGGCCACGTGCTGGGCACTGTGAATGGAGTAGTGACCAAAACAGACACTTGCCCCGCCCCACCCTCATGGAGCTTACATTCATAGGGGTAGGGTAGGGAGACACTGTGTCTGTCTAATGGTGACGAGGGCACTGGAGGGGCACGGCGGCGAGATCACAATCCTAAGTAAGCTGAGAGGGCCTCACTGGGAAGCTGATGTTTCAGCAAAGACCTGAAAGAAGCAAGGCAGCAAGCAACGAGGAAAGTGCTGTAGACAGGAAACAGCAAGTGCAAAGGCCCTGAGTCATAACTGTGCTTGAGAGCACGGTGGAGGACAGCGCAGCTGCAGTGCTGCGAGCAAGGAAGAGAGGGGTCAGTGATGAGGTCAGGGAGGAAGTGGGGCCAGTTCAGGGGGCCTGAGAGGCTAGTTAGCTTCTCCAAGATGCACAGCCACGAGTGGCTTTTGAGTTGAAGAGTGACCCAATTTGACTTTTTAAAAAGGATCGCTCTGGCTGCTGGGAGCAGAGGGCAAACACAGGAGCAGGGAGACCAGTTAGGTCCTGGCGAGATGCGAAGAGGTGGCACGAGGGGTGTGGGCAAGGCAGGAGAAGCTGTAGGGTTCTGGGGACATTTCCAGGATATTCCTGTTATTATTTGGTGGTGAATTACATGTGGGTATGAAGGAAGGAAGGAAGGAAGGAAGGAAGGAAGGAAGGAAGGAAGGAAGGAAGGAAGGAAGGAAGGGAGGGAGGAAGGATGATTCTAGGTTGTTGGCCTGAGCAACCAGAAGAATGAAGCTGCCATTTACTGACCTAGGAAGAGCTGCGATGAACAGGTTGAGATGGAGATAGGTGGACTACCAGGAGTTCATTTCTGGGTAAGTGAAGTTGGAGGTGCCTAGCAGATTTAGCCGAGTAGAAATGTCAAGGCGAAGAGTTGGATATATGAGTCTGGAGCCACAGGGTGAGTTCTAGGTTAGAGAAATAAACATGGGAGTTACCAATGCTTGAAGGTCAGCAGAGCTACAAGGCAGTAGAAAGGAGGACCGAGCTCGGGGCCCCCTAGGACAGACACAGGAGCCAGCAGAGAGGGCTGAGAAGGGGCAGCCAGTGACACAGGAGGAGAGGGTGATGTTCGGGAAAGGAGCTCCATGAAGGGAGTGATGTTGAGAGGCCAAGTATTAATGAAGACCAAGAACTGGACATCTGGCCGGGCAAATGAGGCCACCAGTGACCATGTCTAGAGCACCTGGAATGGAGGGGAGGGAGCAGGCCTGACAGGAGTGAGCTCAAAGGAGAACAGGAAGAGGGGGGCTTTCTGAAAAGACTGTGTATAGGAAACTCTATGAAGGAAGGGTTTTGATCAAAAGGGGAGCAGAGAAACGGAACAGTAGCTGGAACGGGGATGTGAAGTCAAGAGAGGATGTTTAACGTGAGAGAAATAACAGCATGATTGTAGGGGAAATGGGATCACACGGGAGAGATGGGGGAGAAGCCTGGAGCAATGTCCTTAAGTAGGTGAGAGGAGGGATCTGGGCATGTCCGTCCCCTCCCTCTTGGCCTGACTAATTCCGAAGTCATCCCTCAAGGGTCAGAGTATAGGTCATTTTCTCAGGGAAGCTTCCCTGACCCCTCGGATAAGGTCAGTTCCCTGTTAAGCTCTCTCATTGCGTATGCTGCTTCCCCTTCACGGCACTTAGCGACTGCGTAATGATGGGTAAGTCCTGTGAAGTCAGGGCAGGAGATACGCTTGCTGCGGTATCTCCAGCAGCCAGCACGCTGCCTGGCACACCACAGATGTTTGAGGGATATCTAGGGAAGGTATGAATGGTCCAAAAATAGAACTCAAATAACTCCAAAGACACATGTCTGTGTGCCGGTCCCGCCTGGTTTAATCACGTTGTGATGGTTAGAACCGTGTAGTTTGTGGCCATGGCAAACATTTGGGTTTCTGAGGCCTCAGTTTGTTCCTCTGTGGGATCTGAAGCTTGGCTAACACACGGACAAATGCCACAGGACTGGATACATCTTTTCTTTGACACTGTCCACTAGAAACTGAGCACATTCCATATTATATTTAGCAATCCATTCATTTAATAAATATTTGCTGAGAGCTCACAATGCTAGCGCGGCTGCCCTGGGATACAGAACGGTACCAGACACGGTGCCTGCCCTTGTGGAACTTGGAGTCCACCAGAAGGAATCAGAAAGAATTCTGACTCATCGAAACCGTGATTGGTCTTACAAAGGGCAAGTCCAGGGGGCTGAGAACATGTAGAATGAATGGGGAGACTTAATGGTCTGGGGAGTGGGAGGCAGAGGACAAGGCAGGTCAGACAAGGCCTGTGCTCCCTCTCCTCCTGGCTTCAAGCTGCCCTCCTGGGGCTCTCAGGCTGGGGGCACGGGAGCTGGCTCCAGGAGCGGCATGGCCATGGCCTCCTGCCTCAGAGGCCCCACTCTCCTCCCTTTTCCTATCTGTCTCAGCTGGGGCCTGCCTGTCTCCTTCTGTTGCTTCCAGAAGGGCTGCCTCCTGAAGCTGTGTGTTTGGAACGATCTGCGTGGTGAGAAGGCTGAGCTCATTTATGGCATAGGCCACTGGCAGTGATAGGACTGTTACTGAGCCTCCCCTTCTGTTTACTTTCAGGTTGTTATAGGCTCTGTTTGCAAAGAAAAACCACCATTCTGCAAGGACCATGAGGCCACTGTGTGTGACGTGCTGGTGGCTGGGACTGCTGGCTGCCTTGGGAGCTGCTGCCGGCCAGAAGGATGGTTTAGAGGGCACTGAGGAGGGCTCGCCAAGCGAGTTCATTTACCTGAACAGGTACAAGCGGGCTGGTGAGTCCCCAGACAAATGCACCTACACCTTCATTGTGCCCCAGCAACGGGTCACAGGTGCCATCTGTGTCAACTCCAAGGAGCCCGAGGTGCTCCTGGAGAACCGTGTGCACAAGCAGGAGCTGGAGCTGCTCAACAATGAGCTGCTCAAGCAGAAGCGGCAGATCGAGACGCTGCAGCAGCTGGTGGAGGTGGACGGCGGCATCGTGAGCGAGGTGAAGCTGCTGCGCAAGGAGAGCCGCAACATGAACTCGCGGGTCACGCAGCTCTACATGCAGCTCCTGCATGAGATCATCCGCAAGCGGGACAACGCGCTGGAGCTCTCCCAGCTGGAGAACCGGATCCTTAACCAGACGGCCGACATGCTGCAGCTGGCCAGCAAGTACAAGGACCTGGAGCACAAGTACCAGCACCTGGCCACGCTGGCCCACAACCAATCGGAGATCATCGCGCAGCTCGAGGAGCACTGCCAGCGGGTGCCCGCAGCCAGACCCGTGCCCCAGCCGCCCCCCGCCACCCCACCCCAGGTCTACCAGCCGTCCCCCTACAACCGCATCATCAACCAGTTCTCCACCAATGAGATCCAGAGTGACCAGAACCTGAAGGTGCTGCCACCCCCTCTGCCCACCATGCCCACCCTCACCAACCTCCCGTCCTCCACAGACAAGCCATCGGGTAAGTTCCTTCCGGGAGCCTGCTCCATCTGGGCCTCAGAGCCGGGCACAAAGCTCCCTCTTGGCTGTGGCTGTGAGCTGGGGAAAAGCCACAGTAAGCTGAACCTGGGCCAACAGGCTTGCACAACCCCCTAGCAATCCCTTGGGTCAAGCTGCTGGAGCCGGTGGGCGCTCCAAGGCAGAACCAGGAAACGGGGAAGTCTCAGAAGGGAATAAGTGCTCTCTGGCTTATGATGGGAAAGAACCACAGACCTGTTGTTTTCTGGGCTCTGCATTAGGTGCTCTGCGTTGGCAAGCAGGATGTCTCGCCAGCAAGCTCTTGTACTGTGCTTGGCACAGAACTGGCACTCAGTGGTAAATGCCCACTGAAGAAACAACAGGCCAAAGGAAAAAGTGTGTTCATGTTCAGAGTATGAGAAACACATTGTAGGGGCTGAATAAGAAGGATGACTTTCTAAAGCCCACACATTTCCTAGAGTCTACTGCTGTCTAGAATTTTCAATGATGATTCCATAGACTCTTAAATACATGTTTCGTCTTAAAATATGGTAATTCCCAGAATATCATTATGGGGGAGGAATGGAGTTGTTGGTAAGTTCTGAAGCTCAGCCAAGATACCGGTGCTGGGTACTTTCAGGTGCACCACATGATTACCCCCTGCATCTCCTTGGGCGGGGGGGGGGGTTAGCTGAGAAGGTGAGTAACGTGCTCTTAGGGTTGGGGTCCTCAGACTGGATTTGACTTCCGGCCTTTTCACTTCCAAATGAGGGCTGATTTCTCTGTGCTCTGGGACTCTGGGAATCCTCGCTCTGGGGGGAGCATAAGCCCAGCCCCCAGAAGCTCAATCTCTCATTCACCCAGGACCCTGCAAACTTTCCAAATGGCTGTCATATGAGAACTAGATTTATCTTTGCAAAAACTAACTACATATCTTCTCACAGTCAATGATCTTGGTACCACTTCACTCTATAAGCAGGAAGCTATTTTTACTGAAACTATCCTATGTTACACTTATTTCACACTTCCAAAAATAACCACTATGCCTGGAAAGAGCAGCTTCTTACTAATTCCACAGAGGGACTAAACCTGGGTCCAAGAGGGTGGCCTGTGCAAAAGACCAGGGCAGCACTGCTTACTGGCCCGCAGGAGAGCATCCGCCCGCAGCGCCCTGCGGGAAAGCCCTCGGGCTGGGTGTGCAGGTTGACAGCATATGCTTTGGAGCAGACTGGCCTGGATTCAAACTCTGGTCCCCACACTGATTAACTCTGGGACAGTAAGCAAGTCACTTCACCCCACAGACCCTCAGTTTCTTCACCTGTCAATGGGGGAAGGTTAAAATAGTGCCTATCTGAGGATTAAATGAAATACTTGGGAAGAAAATGTGTCTAACACAGTCCTGGGACCATGCTAAGTTTCAGTACATGGCAGCTATGAGTCTCCTTTGGTCTTGGCCTCTTCATCTTAAAACAAGAAGATGGAAATAAACAATCAGTCCCTTTTTAGCTATGGCATTCTATAGCTGATCTACAGCCTACAGATACATGTTCAACTGTACATGTGTTATTTTAGGTCAGAAGCTCCAAAACAGAGGGCAGAGTGTGCTACTACATATTTATAGAATACACAGAGGGTAAAACATGCCCTTTGGGTACCAAATAAAGGTTTGGCTGAACATTATATAATTCTTTGGGGGAGTCAGGTCAACCTCAACTGATAACAAATAGATCTCCTCTCATCTAAGCAACTCTGGTTTCTGACTCAAAAATTTCAGGACATTAACTGAGCTTGAACTGAGCTGACAGATATATATTGAGTTGGAATAAAAACTTAGGTTTGCATCTACCCCTGTGAGCTGTTTGCTCATGAGAAAGTTACTTAACTCTGAACCTCAATTTTCTCCTCTGTCAAATGGGGACGAGAGTCATAATATCGCACTCAGGCTTGTGGAAACTCAGTGTAGTCGGGCACGTGTCCTCCGGGGCAGCCAACAACGGCAGAGCGCCTTCTCTGTGCTGGTCACAGAGCTAGGCTAGGAGGAGGTGGGAACTATGGCACCTGACCTCTGGGAACTCGGCCTGGGGGAGGCGGCAGATGCAGGAATGCACTGGGATCCACCCTTGGCCCGCCAGTTCTCTCCCATAAAATCAGCACCTCAGGTCTCACAAAGGACTTCTCTGAGGGGAAGCATCTGTCAAGGTCACAATTTCCAGAACGTTGTGAGAATTTATGGGGCAAACACAACAAAGTACCTGAAATCAGAAGCAGTGAAAACCGTGGGCTGGGCGTCACTGTCGCTTATCGGGGCATGTGCGTGCTGCGGGACAGCGGGAGGCACGGCGGAGTCTGCTTGAAGTAGAAGGGGAAGGCTGGACAGAGGCGGGGACTTAGTGTTGCATCTTTAACGACTGATGTAAGAGTAGGCCGGGCGGACTCGGGAACTGGGAAACTGAGTTGCTAGTGGGTCCGTGATGCAGATGAGTCTGTGCAGGGACCCAGGGGCACGGCCTTGCTGCTTCGCGTTTACCACCCAGCATGAGCTCGTGCCATCTAAGGCTCCTGCCCCCATCCGACCCCTTTCTCTCCCACTTAGGAGAGCACACCTGCATGGGGCGGGGAGACAGTGGTTGTATTATGGTAATAACTTAGATGCACTATAATTTATCTTTTTTTTTTTTTTTTTTTTTTTTAAAGCAAGGCCCTCCTAAATGTTAGTACTGGTTGTTAGTAACAGATTCCTTATGACCCACCTGCCAACTGAGCTCCCACACCAGGGCTGCCAGCTGGGACTGAGGAGCACCCTGGCTGGAGAAGTTCAAGGGGCGGACAGAGCCCTGAGGAGCAGGACCGGGGCCCCTTCCCTTTCCTGGTGTTGGGCTTAACTGAGAGGAAAATACAGATGGTCCCTCTCAGCCAATGAGCAAGGACCTCTTATCAGGCCTGTTCTGAGAGCTCAGGGGCAGGTTCTGGTCCTGGAAAACAAAACCTCTTCTATGCTCTTGCCCAACAGATTCTTTGTTCCTAAAGACATCACTCAGCCAGAAACACCTTTGCAATTAAACACTTTTGCACTCCAGCTTTGGCAGCTTCTCAATCTTCCATTCTGCAATCTCAGAGCCATCCACTCTTCTCCTCATTGTCTGGGCGGCGCAGCCCACGGCATGACTGCCCCCCCTCGCCCCCAGGGGACTGAGGGAGCCACGGCTGCTTATCTGAAGCTGCACCCGCCAGCTTGCTTCCAGCCAGACGACGAGAGGCTGGCCCCAGGCCAGCCCAGGCCTCGGAGACTGAGTGAGGGAGACCCAGGCAGCGTCTGGCTTCCCGGGCATCTTCCTGGGGTTTTGTCCTGTCTCTCTCAGGTCTGGCCAGGCCTGGGGGCATTTCGGTTGGGATGATGCTTGTCATGAGGCCTGGGCCAAGCGGCCCTGCCTATGGCCCTCTCTCCTTGGGTCCTGCTGCGGCGGCTGCTCTTCCTTCCTCTCTTCCCCTTCACTCTTTCCATATCCCCCCTCCCCTGTTCTCTGTTAAAGAGGAAGGCAGCAGGGCTCACTCCCTCAGAGGCCAAGGGAAGGAGGGGACGGAGCCTCAGCTCTGGCCTTCTCTCAACACGCCATTCCTCCGCCAGGCGCGTGCCCGCCCTCCTGCCGCAGCACCCGTCCTAGGCACTGCTCAGAAAAGGCAAGGCAGTGTTACGACTGGCTGCCACAGCGACGCCTTGTCTGAAACTAACCTTTTAAAAGCCAAAAGGAGTAGCCACTTCTAGCTGTTCTCTCTTGGAAAGGAGAACGTAACCAGCTCAGCGTGTTTCTTAACGGAATCAGAAGGGGCCGTAGACTCAGAAGCTATCCGAGCTTGTGGAGGGCCTCTCAGAGCTCTGGCACAGCCTGCCCATCCCAGAGTCTGTCAGCGGCGCCGCCAAGAGCAGTCCCCGGGCTTCTAACATCTAGGATGTTGAGGTTCAGGGGTTAAGTAACTTAGCCAAGATTACACAGCTAGTTAAGGAGCTCGGCCAAGGCTCAAACCCAAGTCTGTCTTACGCACGCTGGGATACTGCACGTTTCCATGGAAAGGCTGGAGGGGAGCTGGTATGAAAATCGCTCTATAAATGCCTGCCTCGGCCCCAGGTGCCAGCTGCCTGGGACCTGACCCTCTATCACTATTCCATGTATCAGGTTCCAAGCAGCTCCTTGTAAAAGAGCTCTGGGAATGGAGCTGGCGGATGTGCTATGAGAACTTTCACGTTTCTAATAGTACAGAACGCTGCTCCTGCAAACCCATTGGTTCGGTGCTGTCCACTGGCTTGGAACCAATGGAACCAGCCCTCTGTGGCCAGCTCCCTGGTCCCACAAAGGGACTGCTGTGGCAAATTCATGTAGTGTACTGTATCATAACCCTGAGACGCAACCTCCTGCCCCCGCAAAAAAAAAAAAAAAAAAAAGAAAGAGCGAGCAGAATTAGGTTAGCATAATAAACCAATTGGGCTCTCCCACAGAAAACATAACATGCACCTGACTTTTGGTAAATGTTAAATGGACCCAGCCAAGGCTGTAGATAAATCTGATTTTTAATTTGTATCAAATTTGGACAAATTCTCTAGGTTTACTTCTTACCATTTCAATGTATAGCTCAGTCTCAAGTCTTCATTTATTTAAATATGTTAACTCTAAATATATAAAAATCGGTCACTCTAATCTGCTCGTGGGGCCACGTGAAGTGGCAGCCACGCTGCCTCACTGATAACAGGTACAGCCTGCATAGATTTTTCCTTTTACTTCCCCCTGTGAGGTAGAAAACGTGTACACTCGGTTGTGGCTCCCTGGCGCAGTGGCATGTTTTAAAACAGAGAATGAGATGTATCACACTGTCGCCTCCATTCTTCCTGGAGGCCAAGCCACCGTCAATCCGGGTGAAAAGCTGTTGGTCAGATGGGCGGATCGGCTCCGGCCGGCTGGGCTTCTAAGCCTGCACGGCTGTCGGGGGCCGGGGAGACAACTGGGAACTGTG